TTTTGAAAATGTTCCGGAAATACTGCGTCCTTTAAACATATATCAAATTAAAGCTTATTTTATGTACTACAAAATGAAAACAAAAAATTTGTCCCGACGATCTATCTTCTATACGCAAACGGCTACCGTATTCAAAAATATGCTATTTTAACAAATTTTTTTTTAAAATGAAATACTATCTACAGATTTGCATCGAAGCGTTTCTTATGATAGTGATTTAAATCACTGTCAAATATCATCTATACTTGTCCCATCTATGCCTTGTCTACACTGTGCCTCGACCCCACTGTGCTACCGTTTTTTAAAATTAAACACTATCTAAAGATTTGCATCGAAGCGTTTATTTTTGATAGTGATTTTAATCACTGTCAGATATCATTATACTTGATCCAACTATGCCACGTCACCACTGTGCCGCGACCCCCCTGTGCTGGGTTTTTTTTTAATTTAAAATTTTCTCATTAATATAAAATAGTCGATTTTTAGCACTTTTATTATAAAAATGTATAATGGGTCAATAACAATTTTAGGACAAGTAATTAGTAAATATTTTAATACATGGAGTGGGTATGTACACGGGGAGAATATGTGTTATAAGTATACACCACTAAATCCAACCATGTTAAAGAAAAATAATTTTTTTAGTCAAAAGTGTGGCTATAGAAATAAACTTAGATTAAGAAAAATTAAAAAAATATTTGATTAAATAATGCAGGCAATAGGTTTAAAACTTTACTTATTATCTTATCAGAATAGTGATGTATGTAGAAAATAGACCTAAAATAATAAACATAAAAAACATTTTATCTACATACAGTAATTTTGAAAACATCTATTTCTTTAAACTACACTTCATTTAACTCTTGTACTGAATACAAGCTTTGACACAGATATTTAAAAAGAAATTTTGTTTGTAATGTTAAAATATTAAATAAAAACTACATAAAAATACAAAATGTGTAATTATAATATTAAGATGAAATATTTAACAAATAAACAAAAAATCAATGTATATTTTAAGAACTAGTAAAATTATAATGAACATAATTTTTTATATCAATAATATAATTGTTTTATATAACAATTTGTTTATGTTATTTTTTTCTCCAATAAATAAATTAACGCCAGGAACTGAATGAACTTCCACTGCAAATAAAGTTTTTTATTTTCATCAATGTAGTGGTAAACATAAAAATAAACAATTCTTAGTATAAATGAAATTAAAAATGTTAATATTAACTGTTTATAAAGATTGGAACTTTATTTATAATTTATAATGAAGAATAAAAAGTGAGTCAGTATGTTTCAACATGTGATGTAAAGTTTGTTTAAAGTTACTATATTTATTAAATGTTTAAAAATTAGTGACATTTATTTTACTGTGTGTTTAGTTTTTTTTTTATTACAGATATATTTGGGAGATATGTTAAATACATAAACAATTATATGGGCAAACATATACATTTAATTAAAAAGAAACAATCCCCCATTGTGAAAATTGCAACACTGAAATTTCTATGAAATACCTAATTCAAGATTGCACAAAATGGAGTAATGAACGAAAAATCCATTTATGAATGGAAAGAAAAACTATGCATAGAAAACTTGCACCTAAACTTATTATTAGAGCTAAGAATTATATAACATTAATGAATTTTATTTAATTATTATGAACACATGAAAAGCCAATAAAATTTTTTATTAATTGACTTGAAAAATTAGAAATATGTTGTTACTGAAGTTATATTATAGATAGGGCATTAGGGGGGTTTTCCCCCATACAACAAAAAATATTTTTACAATACATAATCCTATGACCAAGATGCACAAACTTGGGAACATTCGAAATCGTTTAAACAAAATGTATAAATGCATGTAATGCCTAGCCTTACTTGTTATGTATTAATAAATAATACATTTTTATCATTTAATCAAATGTAAAAAAAAAATTATAAATAACTGTTAGAGAAATTACTTAAATGTTAAAGCCTCTATAAAAAAATAAGTTTTTGACAAAAATAATAACATATATATTAGGGTGTCCCTTATTTTTAAAATTTTATAAATTCTTTAGGTTCACAAGCCAAATTTGTGTATATACATATAAAAAGTGGCTACAAAAAATTTCAGGGCGATCAGATAAGTTTAACCCGTTTTGACTTGGGGTTGAAAATTGGCCAAAAAGGGTAGTTTTTTAGTTTTCAGCAATTAACTTGTAAATTAGCATTCTCACCGAAAAAATTATAGAAATTAAATTATAAATCTAATTGATTTGTATAAATTAAATTCTAACAGTTTTTCTTCTAAATCCATTAGTTTTATATAAAAATGTCAAAATACGTAATATTTCGTACAATTGTCGAAATTGGCATATTTATGAATATTTCATCATATCTGACGAACCATATGTGATATCTAATATTTCATACAAAATTTGTTTAAAATTAAATTTTACAAAATAAAAGTTATAAGTAAAAATTTCATTGAACCGATCGTTTTATTTCTATAGCTGAGATAGCTCGATCATATAATGATTTTTACTAAATACATGAGTTTTATTGCTAGATTCTGTTAGTTATCATCTGGTATATGATAAATAAGGTATACTATACTCAAATTATACTTCATTGATTAAATTATGTAATTATACGTATTTGATTTAAATTGTTTATTTATTATAAATTGATGTATCTGATTGGCTTAAACGCATAAGTATACTTATTTCTCAATATTATTGTAAAGAGTTTACCTTTTGTAGCCACTTTTTATATGTATACACAAAAAATTTAGCAGGTAAGCCTAAAGAATGAAGCCAGGTGAAGCCCAAAATTTTAAAAATAAGGGACATCCTAATATATATACAATATTATTATATATAAATCCATTAATATTAATATGATTAGTAAAAATCTGATTATATGAGTATGTGTTTAGCATTGATAATAGTAACATTGTTCCCAAAATACGTATAAGCAATTTTTTAGTAATATTTTTGTGGCTTTTTGAGTTAAATATTTTTAATACTTGTTTAGTTTTAATTTAACATTTTTAGTATAACTTTAATTTTTAATATTTTAAGCTTAATTAATAAGGTTTTTAATTATATTTATTGTCTCTTTAAATAGACATCAAATTAGTTAACTTTTAGAATTACCCAAAAGAAGCAGTTTGTGGTTTAAATGGACTTGTTTGAGGTTGCTGCTGCTGTCCAAAAGTGGCAGCTGCTGGAGAAGCAAAACCAGTAGTTTGATTCTGTGCTATATTGCCAAATGTAGGAGAATTAGTTTGAGCAGCTAAAGACGCAAATGCAGTGGTTGGCTGTTGAGCAGCAGCCCCAAAACTAAATGTACCATCTAAAAAAATAGTTAATATAAAAATTTGTGTTCTAATTTGAAATACAATATTGGATATTTACTGTCTGGTAAACTACTGGTTTGACCAAATGTGTATTGTGATGAAACAGCTGAACCAAATGTACCAGAACCCCCAAAAACAGGAGCTTGTCCAAATCCCGATGTATTTGAAAAGTTAGAACCTAGAATTTTAATTTATTTATCATTATTCTTTGTCAATAAATCACTTTATAAAAATTGTAAAATTATTTATTATTTATTATCATTATTAAAATTAAAATTAATTTACCCATGTTACCAAATACTGGTGGTGCACCAAACCCTAAATTATTGGTTTGATTACCCATAGAAAATCCTGATCCAGTACCAAATACTGGATTTGATGTTCCAAAACTATTTTGTGAACTGTAAATTATATTTTCTTTCATGTTACACTATTTATAATTGTATATTAAATTTAATTATTCATTAAAAATAATAAATACCTTGTTACGGTTGGCTGACCAAATACTGCTTTTTGTCCAGAAAATAAAGATGACGGGCTAGTAGATGTTTTATTAATAGCAAAGGGATTTGCAGCTACTCCAAAATTATTGCCTGGCTGAGATGGACTACATGATTGTTGCCCAAATAAAGACATATTACCAAATGCAGAGCCAGGAGAATTAAATCCTAAAGTAGATTGTCCAAATGTAGAGGATTGGTTTGCTGCAGCAGCAACAGAACCAAACAATCCACTAGAAGTTGCTGTTGTTGAAGGTGAACCAAAAATAGATGTTGTATTAGTTGTATTTGTTGGGGTTCCAAAAATAGATGATGTTGTATTTGTTGTAGGTGTTCCAAAAATTGATGATTTAATGGTTGTTGCTGGGCCCCCAAAAATAGATGATGATGGTGCATTTGTAATTGAAGGAGCACCAAAGATGGATGGTGATGATGATGATGAAATATTAGTTGTAGCAAGAGTCCCAAAAATAGAAGATGTGCTAGTTGTTGTTGGAGCTCCAAAAATAGTTGATGTACTAGTTGTTGCAGGTGACCCAAAAATAGTTGATGAACTAGTTGACAATGGAGCTCCAAAAATAGATGAAGTACTTGTAGTCGCTAAACCAAAAATTGAACTTGTTGAAGTAATTGTAGGAGTACCAAAAATTGATGAATTTGTTGTGGAAGATCCAAAACCAGCAGATGTTTGAGAAACACTTCCAAATATACTAGTCGTTTTTAAGGATGTGGGAGTTCCAAATATAGAAGATGTAGAAGTTTTTGTTGTACTGGATGAACTGAATGTTGATGAGGTTGTTGAAACAATAGGACTACCAAAAATTGATGAAGCTGTAGTCATAGTAGGTGTTCCAAAAACTGTGGTAGTATTAGGCGCACTTGTGGCATTGCCAAATATTGTTGAAGAACTATTTTTAGAAGTATCGAAAACTGAAGTTGTACTAGTGGTACTAGTGGAACTAAAAACAGTAATTGGTGTTGAACATTTTGTTTCTGGATCTGTTATACCAATGGTAGAAATTTCTACAATTGGTAAACTATTCGCAGAAATATTTGTTTCAACCCTTTCATTTTCGGGAGTGGACGGTTCAGATATTATCGGAGATGAACATTTAGACTCTTTATCTCCAGTTTTAGACTCATCTGTTTTACATATGTTAAAGCTAAATGATGATAATGCTATATCAGGCTTTGAATTGAAATTGAATGCAGCTAGTGGTGCCTCTTTTGATACTGTAGGTTCTATATTTAAAGAAATTAAAGTTGCTGTTTTTGTTTTATCTATTTTATTTGGTGTAGAGTTAGCAAAATTACTAATAACTGGTTGAGATAACTTTACTGTAGAAGACTCAGTTTGTAATGAACTGTTAAAGCTAAATGGTAATTTAGTATTAGTATTAATTGTTTCAGAAACTACATCCAAGCTGGATGTTTTTGAAGCTACAGTGGTTGCAGTATATATTGCGTAGGAAGGAACAGATTGTGATTTTATACTGAAGTCTAAAGGTGTTTTAATAGAACTAGTAGATACACTAATTTTTTCTTGTGCTGGAGTAGTATTGGAAGTAGATATAATTGAACTGTCTTTTGTAAAAATCTTGTAATCAAATTTATCTGAAACATTATTAAAAACTAATGGTTTAGTATTCGATACACTCTCTACAGGTTTCCAAATTGATGGCACACTAGTATTAACATTAGAAGGTTTTGATAAACTTGATGAAAAATCAGTAAGAGTTGGTTTAGAGTTAGTAAAGATATTGTGTACTATTGGATTTGAAGTTGTTGAAGTTTGATGAATACTTGGACATATTGATGGTTGTGGTATAGTATTCAAATCATGTTTGAATACATCAGATATTTTATCCGTAGACTCAATTTTTTTAATATCACTATTAGATTTTATATTAAATGAAACAGGTGTTTGAATACTGTATTCTTCATTAATATTCGCAGAAATAATAGGAGTTATTTTTCCATTCACTTGACTATCATTATATTGTTTGACTTTATTTTTCAATGGTGTACTACATACAGGTTTACTATAGTCTATATTAGCATACTTTGACTTGTTTTTCGTTCTTCTTGTTTTAAAATCTTTCAACCAATCTTGTAATTGATTAACTTTAGTACTAGAAAGTGCTCGTTGATTAGCTGATAAAACAGAATATTTTTTCGCAATATTGTAAGAATTTATTGCTGAAACACCATCCTTCTCCAGAGTGATTTTTAATAATTGTTCAGATAATTTAGATAAACCAATATCCCTAAAATAAAACAAAATTTAAGTCATACATTTTGTTAGTTATAATATGTGATTAACCTGATTATAAGTAAATGGCAATACCTTTTAATTGTAATTTGTATATTGTTAATGCAATACGAATAACAAAAATAAAAAAATTACTAATGGTTATTAAAGAGAAAATTATTATTATTATATCAGAAATTATTAACACTTTAAAATATAGACTGGAGGTGAGGTTTGAGTAATGTTATTTTTATTGTTATCAGGGCTCAGAATTTAAAGTATTATTAAAATTTGTTTTAATTATTTTGAGTACATCAATAATGAATAGATTTTTGTATTTATTTTTTTAAATACTAAAAATATAATTTAAATTATAGGAATTTAATTATGGGGTACATAGAGGATTACTCCCTCATAAAATGAAAAATGTTATACTTTATACACCTAAAATAAAATTTTCTCACAGTTGGGTGTCAAAGAAGTCAAAATATCAAACTTTTTTTTAATGCTATAAGTTCCAAGCTCTAATCAAAACGTATCACAATGTCGTGCTCCTACTCTGACTCAGGTATAAAATATTTATAACATCCAAAACACTCGTTTAAAAATTGTTTTAGACAAATTTTCTTAGTTGAATATCATTTTCCAATATTTAAATTTGTAAAATATGAATATTACTATATAAAAATATTAAGTTGGCACTCTTAAAAGGGATAAGTGATAGACCTAAAAAATAAATACTATAAAATCAATCACCCTGTATAACTGTAACAAAAATTAAAAATAAATATTTTTGAATTAAGGTGTTTTGTTGTTAATGTAACAATAAGAAATATAACAAACCTAGAATCATTTAATCTTGATGTGTTTTGTACAACATCAGGAGCAACTGACAACTTTTTTAATGTTATTTCTTTTACTTGTTCAACACTGTCACATAAGTATTTAATTTTTTCTTTTAGTTTATTAACTGTGTTTGTGTTATAAACTAATGCTTGATAAATAGTTTCTAGACGAGGAATTTTCATTTCTCTATTTTAGTTAAGAAAACAAAAAGTTAATTAATTATTATACGAGCTAAGAGATACTACTATTAAATTACTTGTTATTGATGTTATAATTATCATAACGAGATTTCAATTGATCATCAACATGTGTTAATTGTGTTTCAATGTAATATAGGGTTCGCTCTATATTGTCAAAAATGACTTTACTGAATGGCTCATCATTTTCATTCTTTAATAAACACTTGTATCTACACAATAATTATATTTGCAATAAAATAAATAATAATAATATAACACAACAATTCATTTTTACTTAGGATTTTTCAAAAAGAATAGACGAGATTTTGAATCTTCAATCCAAGCAGTAGCATCTAATACTGACTTTTGCAATGCTTTAGTTTCAGTCCATTGAGAACGATTAGTTTCATTTAGTTCTTTAAAAAACAAATCTAATGATGACCACTTTTTTATTAAAATTTCCTTGTCTTTTTCATCCCCTATCTGTGAATAAAATTCAAATTAAATTACTATACAAGATATATTGAGGTTAATACCAATTATTACTTTTAATTTACTGGTTTTAGTTGATAATTTTAAAACATTTTCTAATTGAGATTGAAATAACTTAACATCTTCCATGACTTCTTTTAAAAGTATTTCAGCAGTACAAGAGGTTATAACTTCAGTAGATTTATTTTTATTAGAAATATTGTTTGTATTTTGAACATTTGAAAATGTTGTATTTGGTGATACTATTGGAGCATTTGATTTAGTAACTGGAACTATTGGACTATTTACTTTTAATTAAAGAAAACATTGTTTACTATTAATAGACAAACTTTTAATAAAAAGAATTTAAAAATTCTTACTTATTTGTGTTTTTTCAGCTTGAGAAGTAGTCGAAGTTTCTAAATACTGAGCAAGAACTGATTCATTATTAATTTCATTTTCATTTACCAAATCACTATAGAAATTTAAAAATAAATTATTAATAAGATCAATTGATTGTTATTATTCAATTCATTGTGTATAGTATAAAATACTCTTTAGTGCAATTTTAACTACACTAAAAAATGTACTATTTTTAAAAAAGTAAAAAAAAATTATTTACACAACATTGATTACATCTTCATCAGTAACTTTATGAGTCCCATTTGAAGGTTCACTTTTCAGTAAAATGTTCTAAAAGTATAAGAAAATTACTATTAAATATTTATTCTATTAAATCTTTCAATAATATTAGATTTAAGCAATACAATTAAATATTTAAAAATATATTAACAACATTTTAACAGTGACTCGAGTGAAAAAGTTAAGATAATAATGATACTTTTTTGATATAATAACAAAATTATTAAAAAATTTTATTAAAAAAAAGAGTCATTAAATTTAAAAGGGGTCGTTCCAATTTAAAGAAACCCAATTAGGATACTCACATTGAGACCCCTAAGGTCAAATTATACACAGCTCAATACTCCCTTCAACTTTAAAACTAAGTGGTGTACATACATTTTTTAAAAATATTTCTTGATTGATTGTTAGGCTCTTAAATTTAAGTATTTAAATATGATAATTTAATATTAATTACTACGTTTTTTTTTAACTATGTACTGTTCACACCAGTTCTAAATGTAAAAATATAAATTCACATTAATTTCATAGACTCAGCTATTCTTAAATAAAATGATTTATAAATATTACCTATTTAAAAAATTTGATATATAATGAGAAATTAATTATAATTTAAATCGTCATCTAATTATTATGACTACACTTGTTATAAATGTTCATGAACATTTACAATTATTTTCAAATTTAATAACTACTTGTCAATGATTTAGCTGTTTAAGAATTTTTATTTGATAAAGTAATTATTAATACTTGTATATAATTTGAAATCACAAAAAAAAAGTATTAATTAAAATTTATTTTTATAATAAAACATAATACACATATACTTATAAACAAATCACAAAAAGTCATATAATGCAAAATTATTATAAAATTTAAAATTTTGTGGCTTATATCTAAAAGCTAATAGTCAAATGGGTTTCTAAGATTTTATATAATTTGTATAGAGGAAGATGTTATTTTTTACGAGTCAAAAAATTACAAGTTTAAGGAAAAGTTTATTTTTGCACTTTAAAAATATTAACTTTCTATAAATAACTCCAATGAAGTAATAAATTTGTTTTTGTTCCCCTAAAAAATTTCTGAAAGTTATCAGCTTTTGGAAAATAACCACATAAATTTATTATTTATTAAAATACATATAATATAAAATTTCATTTATCAAAACTTTAGTTAATATATTAAAAAGATTGTAATAATTTACTTACTGGTTTTGAAATACTATTAAATAGTACTGATACCACATTATTAGGTAATTCAATAGAAGGTTTACAAATATTTTGATTGATACACAGTTGATTTTCTAAATGATACAAAAATAATACACCATCACTAGATAGTACACATAAAACTGGCATTGGATCAAGAAATGTTTCTTCATTAGCTTTCGATACTGTAATACATAATAAACTCTAATTATTTAGGTTTTTTTTATTAATCAAATTTGTAATACATATTTTTTAAGTAGTAAATGTAAATTATTAATTTAAAATTGGTATCAAAGTTTTATTTTTAGTTTTGATGCTATTGGTTTAACTGTTTTTTTTTGTCCATACATGCAATTACACCGCACATACAGGACCAATTTTGATTAATGATCAAAAGATCAGAACACATATTTTGTTGAAGCCATTAGTCCCAAGAATTTTAAATTCCCCTCCATCCCTATTATAAAATGGAATATCCAAAAATTACAATTGATATAAAACAGTTAATATTGATATTTTTAGTTTTAGTTTTCATCACATTATATTAAAATAGCTTTTTTAAAACTGGATAAATTATTGAAAAATGTTTATTGATAATACTTCAAATATTTATCTTGTTAATGACATGCTTTTTTTAAAAAAAATTATCATTAACTTAGGTACTGTGGGGACTTATAATATAAATTTTTTTTTCTTTATAATTTTTGATGTTAATAAAAATCTACCTCTTTTAAAACTACATTAATTTAAACCTAATAAAATTGATTGTGAGATGAAAAAAAAACTATCCGAAATTTGAATATTTAGAAGTTATTAAAGATAAAAATTATATAATTTTTGGTAAAAATAACCAATTTTGGAGATTTAATACAGCATTATTTAAAACTAAAAATAAACTTAACATGATTTAATCTCAAAACATAAAATGATGTACTTAAATAAAAAAATAGGCACTGTTTGCCCTTTGTTAGGTTTTTTGAAATTTGATACTCTCCGATATTGAATAAGTAAATCAAACAGAAATTATACGTAGATAATTAATCAACTTTCTCTGAATATATAGGAGATAATAATGAAAATAAGTTAAAAATTAATTTAGGTGTTAAATATTTTTGGTGGTCCAATTTATTACCCTCTGAGGGCCAGATTTGAACTGGAAGCCGGCTTTTGGCAAATTCTGTACTGTATGATTAAAAAAAAAAAAAAGACTTTCTGATGCTTGGTCTTCTAAGAGTAATTGGCCTCTAAAAATTATAAAATCATTTTGTCATATAATTTTTGGTAGATATGATAATTTCTTTAAATCACTCTAAATATTTAAATAATGATTGAATCAAATAACAATTTATAAAGATCAGCATACTATTTTCAGTAAATATGATAAATTTTGAAATTTTTAACGACTCGTCTACAATGAGTAATCAACCTTTTTTTATTAAGTTTAAGTTTCAAAATAGTTTTGTTTTACATACTGGTATTTGGTTTTGCAACCAGTTACTAAAAAAAAAAATCATATTTGTCATGTATTAAAAATAGTTAACCATTTTTAAGCCTATGTTGAATATTTGATATTGTTGGCCACAAATAACCTTTAAAATATTTATAATAGTTATAAAAATAGATGTATACTTTTTTTTGCACTTATCAAATATACATTTAATCACTGTCAGAAATTAATCAATATTAAATTTTAAATCAAAGGAGTATACAGGGGAAAACACAGTGGAACCGTGCTCCCTCCTTGGGTTATTATCGTCTACTTTATAAAAGTATTTTGAACAATAAAAAAAACAAAAAGTTAATTTTGATAATTTTTTGCGTCCCTTCATTAAAATATTCTGAATTCGCTCCTGTTTAAAAATGTCTCAATTCCACTTTGCAGAACCCCTTCTATATTCTACTTTTTTTAAACTTGTCCATTCAAAATATGTCCATTTGCTAAATAATCAACAAATATTTGTACGCCAAAAAAATCCTTTAAAAATTGTAGACTAGTACATATTAATAAAATGAAATGAAAATGTTTATACATTGTTTTATACGCATTTGAGATGATAGGTCTAAAGAAACTCCTAATGGATACATTTGTTTATCAAGAGTAAATGGCAGTTCAGGTCTAGTTTCTAATGTCCAACACTGCCAATGTCCATCGTTATTCATTCCCATTACACCGATTTCAGTACAATTTGATGATCCCACAAAAAGTATATTCCTATAAAAATTATTTATAATTATATAAATGAATAAATATATATATATATTTTAAATTAAATCTATTAAAAATTGTATTTTAAGTTACCAGATTGGCTGAAAAATGATATAATATTGATTGACTCTATACTGTTCCGAGTTCATTATAACAAATTGCTCAAAATTGATAAATTCAATAGGTGAATTTTTAGGAGTATTTACAATATATAGACCTAAAATTATAATATATTTAAATAAATAATTTAATTATATTTAAAATATTTAATATGATAATACTTGGTTGTTCATCAGAATTGTCAATCAAATCATAAATTACAGCAAACTGAAAGTTTGATATCCACTTTACTTTAATAGGTATTACATTAGTTGATACATCAGTAGGTGGTGAATATTGTTTAACTGCTTTAAGTTCAGGTTTATACTGGGTCAGTGATCCATTAGTACTCCCAACAATTATTTGTTTTCCTTTAGGGCTCCAACTTAAACATCTAAATATAAAATAAAAAAATATCTAGAATTTGAGAAAAACAGCACTATTCAAAACTAATCACCTTGACGGAACAGCCCATGCTGGTTCCGCCATTTATATTTCCAAAAACATAAAACACAACAAAATAAGTCCATACCAAGATTCATCTACACAACCTTCAAGTGTGTATATAAAACTTAATAGCATACCATTCACCATATCCACGGTTTATTGCCCTCCTAGATGGAATATACGTCAAGATGACTTATAAAATTTTTTCAATTTCCCAGATCACTCATTTATGATAGGGGATTTTATCTCTAAACATTCAAAGTGGAGTTGTTTTGGCAACAACCAATATTTATTAAATACATATTATCCACCTGAGGACATTAAACCCAACTCTCATTATATTAATATGGTTAATAACTTTATAACATGTTTTTTACTTTTGATTCCTATTGTTAAGCCGTTCAATTCTGGAGAAATCATATCAATTATTAAAAAATTACCAAAAAGTAAAGCTCCTGGTTATGATCTCATCACAAATAAAGTGTTGATGAATCATCAAAAAAAGGTATTCTCCTTTCAACATATATTTACAATAGTGTGATACGTCTTGCTTACTTTACGTCAATTTGGAAAATAACCGTAATAATACTTATACCTAAACCAAGGAAATCAAAAAATATGGCAGCATCATATAGATTGATCTGCTTGTTACATACATGAAGCAAACTTACTCAAAACTCAGTTTGAGTTCCACGAGAGATACTCTACTAAATACCAAATTCATAGGTTCACACCATATCAAACACTTGATAGGTGTGGCATGACTGGCTGCTTTGCAAATTAAAAAAATATTTCCAGCACCTTTAAACTAATCATTAAGTCTTTATGAAAAAAATGTTTTGATAAGACAAAGCTGTACAATATTTTCTTTAATAAATAACTCAAGCAGGCGTCTCTCAAGGAAGTCACCAGTCTTCTGACCTTAACAATATTTTTATTGCAGACTTACCTCAAACTACTAATACTTTTCTTACTATATTTGCTGAAAAAACAGCTATACTCTCTACTCATAGTAATATTACTGAAGTTGTTCACTACCTACAAAAGCACATCAACATTATCTAATCTTGGTTCAGGAACTGGAAAATTAAAATAAGTGAAAATAAGCCAAGTCATGTAACATTTGCTCTCTGATCTGAAAAATGGCCAGATATAAAGTTAAACAATATAGTTATTAATACCCAAAACGAGATCAAGTGCCTAAGCATAATTTTGAACAAACTATTATTGACATGGGGACCTCACCTGAAAGAAAAAAGCTAAAAACACACTTAATTTCTTTTGTCTACTACTGAATACTTAATTACCTCTTAAAACAAAAATAATTATTTATCAGTCAATAATCAGACTAGTTTGGTATAATGGTATCCATGTATAGGGACCAACTAAACCAGGGATCGGTAATTGGCGGCCCGCGGGCCGGATATGGCCTGCGATGGGAAAATAACTGGACCGCCAAAAATAGTTTTCTTCAATGCCGGTTTCCACACATAATAGGAATATGTTCTATTTTTATAATGTATTTGGATATTACGATGGCGTTCATCGTTTATCGTTGTTTATAATAATAGTCTAGATAACACAACACAGGGCAGTTATTAATATTATTAGTTATTAGTTACTTCAACACAACAATGTTCGTTGGTTGAGTAAAGGTAGAGTGATCAAACGCTTTTGGAACATAAAAGTAGAAGTAATCATGTTCTTGGAAAAATTGGATTCGGAAGAATCAAAACAGTATTATAAATTTTTAACAAACAAGAGTAATATACTAGCTGTGGCATTTTTAAAACATATTCTTAAATATTTAAATGCACTTAATACTGAGTTACAAGGAAATAAAAAATTAATTTGTGATCTGATATCAACTGTATCTGCTTTCCGTCAAAAACTTGAAATATTTGAACAAGATATTAAAAATCAAGACTTTATTCATTTTCCAACAATGCTTAAATATAAAAATAATTCCAATATAGATTGCATAGTGTTTATAAGTTTTTTGTCAGATTTCAGCAAAGAATTTTCCAAGAGATTCAAAGACTTTGCAGAAATTAGAAAACTTTCGCAATTTTTAAAAAATCCTTTTGAAGTTTCTCCAACAGGAGAATGGATTGACGTAGCTACAAAATTGTTCCAATATCCAAAATCTTCACTTCAAATAGAAATTATTGAATTGCAAGAAGATATTTCATTGCAACAATACAAAACTGCATCTACTGAAGATTTTTGGACAAAGCATATTTTAGATAAGTACATTAACTGTAGAAAACTGGCTATAAAATTAGCTACCATGTTTGGCTCCACATACATATGTGAAACTTCGTTCTTCAAAATGACGTTTTTAAAGAATAAATATCGTTCAAGATTAACTGATCTCCACCTTGAAAACACTCTGTGCATATGTTGCTCTCCGAGAGTACCAAATTTCAAAAAATTAGCTCAGGACAAGAAATGTCTTTTTTCTCATTAAAATAAGTAAAGTAAATTTTTATGTATAAATTTGTATTTTTATTATTTTAATAATTTAAGTTTTATACTTTCATAATTTATATTATATTAAATAATTTGTCTTAAACTATGTTTTTAATACAAAAATAAACATATTTAAGTTTTATCTGGCCCTCGAAATTTTTTTTTCAAATTATTTGGACCGCCATGGAACCTAATTGCCGACCCCTGAGCTAAACCATCTAATATTTAACCAATATAAACCTAATAAAAAATAACATTATGCGTTTTAACAGGTGCACCTTGATATGTAACAAAAGAAATCCTACATAAAGATTTAAACATCAAAAATGTCAAAGAATTTGCTATTTTATACTATACTAGATTTTAGTCAAAAATTAATACAAACACAAAATTTTTAACTGAAAGAATGTACACAATTTCAATACCTGACTGACTACCACCACAATGATTTAAACACAATTGGAACAGAGACCTATTGATATAAAATAATAACGACAACAATAAAATCATAACTAAAACTAAATGAGATGTTATCAATGTGTGGCTTCTTTTAACAATATTAATACTACATAATTGAATAGGTAAAAGAAAAATTATTGTAAATTTTATATACAGATTGTTTTTCTAAAAAAAATGTTTGTGATATTATAATGTTGTTTAATTTTTACATAAATTAAAATTAAGCATAACTTTTTATGTATTTTAAGCTTTACATTGCTTAGATTCTAAAACATAAATAAATAATCAAAAGAATAAATAATAGATAACAATATGCTCACAATACATTAATACACTTAATTTTTAAGTAATTAATTTAGGGTGGGTGGAATTTTGATTAACCACATATGGCCATTTTTTTGGTTTAGTATTACAAATTTGTTTAATAAATTAATGTAGCAATAATTTTATAGTACAGTGAAATAATTTTTTATCAGGAACATTTATGATCCCCCTGATCATAAAAATTTTACAGACCCAGATTTTTAAACCTATCTAATCTTACTTTTATTTAACGGAAACCTTGACATAACATAAAAAAGTTTAGTCCACAGAATTTCCATTGAATTAAGATTTCATGGTATTAAACATGATAAAATTAATACTTAGCTTATTTAATAAAGCACAACACATAAAACATATGAATAAAAAAAAAAAAACTAGAATTTTATTTCAACAATTTTTGTAACCAATAGTTTTAATATTAAATAGTTAATAATTAAGGGATTTTCTTAGTATATATTAAACATAATATCTAACATTAATTTAATGTCAATGTAGCCAATAGCTTGATAAATAAAATGAAAAATAACGTGTACTCGATTTTTTTTCTTGACATTTCTTAGCATGATCAATTTGAAATTATGACTATCTTAACCTTATAATTCAAAACATTATTTTAATTTTTACTCAATTTTTTAATTAACATTATGTTACATTTAATGAAAAAATGTTTTTAATGATTAAAGGTTTTTATGCTTAATAGTATATATATATATTTTTATAATTAATTTTTTTTATGTTTTATGATATAATTAATTTTTTTTTCATACTTTTTCCATTTTTAATGTTTTTATCATGATTTTAGGTCTTAGTAAAACATATTAATCAAAATCACACATTATTCTTATTAACAGATACTCACAAAGTACTTGACTGAGGAGGCAAATTTACAATACTGTAGGTTTTATCATTTTTCAACTCTATTATATGTAAAGATCCATCAGATAAACAACATGCCAAAGAATTTTGAACACCGGGATTCCAAGACAAATCAACAACATGAGAATGCTGGGTAGCTTCAAGAGTAATACTTGTCCATAAACTCACATGGTTCTAAACATTATTAGTTTTATTTTTACAAACATTTATTTAATTATTGGTTATCATCTATCTTATATGAATATTATTATCATAATAAATTTGGAAATTAGTTTCAATTTATTCTTTTATTGGCATATAACAGAGTATTTAAAATGGTCAATATTCCAAGCAACATTTTAAAAATATCCTAAGTATATTTACAAAGGTGTTAAATATAGCAATTTTAAAATAAACAAATTAAATAATAAAAATACATGTTACATAAGAATCCTAACAGACCCTTTTAATTTCAACTAAGTTAATCATGAACTTAGAAATAAAAAAACCCAGCACAGGGGGGTCGCGGCACAGTGGTGACGTGGCATAGTTGGATCAAGTATAATGATATCTGACAGTGATTAAAATCACTATCAAAAATAAACGCTTCGATGCAAATCTTTAGATAGTGTTTAATTTAAAAAAAATTGGTGTTTTATTCCAAAAGCTACTTGATCTACTGGTTCCTTATTAATATCTCGATTAAGATAAAATATGTCGAATGAAAAACGGTTTATTAAAAAATATTATTTCTCATAAAAAAATTGTGTGGATCCATAAACTTTTCAAATAAGTTATAGCATTATAAAGTTAAATATAATATAAATAATAAAATCGAGAATTTTCACACGAAAATAGCATTCGGTAGCCATTTTCGCCGTGAAGACAAGTCCAGAGGTCAAATTTTTTTTTTTCAAATTAAAGTACATTACATTAGCTTTAATTTAAGATATATATAAAAGTGTCAGACCTTCCAGAACATTTTCAAAAGTTAATTTTTTGTTAAATAGTTGTCATTTAAAATCCCCCCCTGTGAGCAGATAAAGGGTCAAATTTACAAAAAAAATATACCAAATGATAATTAAAGACATCAAGCATCTATATAAAAAAAAAAATTACTTATCCATACATTTTCCAAAAAGTTATAGCATTATTAAGTTAAAAATATAAAAAAACATCGTAATTTTTTATTAACTTTGATGTCTATTTTCACCGTGAAGACCAGTCCAGAAGTCAAATTTTTTTATTTCAAATTAAAGTATATTACATAAGCTTCAATTTAAGATATATATAAAAGTGTCAGACTTTCCGGAACACTTTCAAAAGTTAAGTTGAAAAAGTTCTACTTTCTATATGCATTTTTTAGCCCTCCCGTATATAGGGAAATAGTCTGATTAAAAAAAAAAGTATGTCCAATAAAAGATGTATATAAATACTACTTCACCGTGAAGATAAAATAAAGTCTGAAATTTTTTTTTCAAATTAAAGTACATTACATTAGCTTTAATTTAAGATATATATAAAAGTGTCAGACCTTCCGGAACATTTTCAAAAGTTAAGTTGAAAAAGTTGTCATTTTAAAACCTCCCCTGTGGGCAGATAAAGGGTCAAATTTACAAAAAAATATACCAAATGTTAGGTAAAGACATTAAGCATCTATAAAAAAAAAACTATATTGATATGTTCATTTTTGAAAAAGTTACAGCAGTTTTTAGTAAAAAATTTCGAAAATTGGNTTAGTAAAAAAAATTGAAAAAATTTCGAAAATTAGCGATTTTTAAATTTGTAATTTTTTTGGAGGTTTCCCCCATTTATGGGGAACGAGGGAAATTTTTTCAATTTTTGAGGGTAATGTTTTCGACTAGATACGATTTGTGATCTTTGACGTATCGTTGAAAGAAATCCGTTCGGTGAGNGACTAGATACGATTTGTGATCTTTTGACGTATTGTTGAAAGAAATCCGTTCGGTGAGAGCTGAGAAAAAGTGGTAACAGACACACAAAAAAAAAAACACATCATAGTAAAACCAATACCTTCTCAGCTTCGCATCGAAGCTAAAAAAAGTGAATTTCGCATAGCTTAATAATGTGATATTATTATTATTTTTTAATCATTATTCAATTATATAAATTAATACCAAGACTACTATTTCATTAAAATAAATCTTAAGAAAAGTTTAAATTATTAATTATAATTATAATTTTATCATTGATACAATACAGGTTAATAAAAATAAAACATATTACAAATTTTTTTCAAAATTAAATAATATCCTGTTTTATAATTAAAAACAAAAATTGTTTTAACTTATCCCTTCTGTGTCTCTTTAAAATACAAAACGTTCCCAATATAGTCTCTATAATACATATATTCGTTTAATTTATACTTATTTTATATTAAGTACAGTTTATATCACAAGTTTTATTTTTTTAAGAGTTTGTTTGAAATTTCATTTATTTTAAATTTTCATTAAATTATAGCTTCTAAAACAATATTTTCAACTTTTTCCAGAACAAAATAAAATATTCAAAACCCTATAAATATATAAAAAATTCATGATTTTTTCTAAATATGGTTTAAAAATGACTAATCTATTGTAATGTCTAAATGTGATATCACTACAATAATAAAAACTGATGATAATTTTGATCAAAATGTACTTTTTGAAAAACTAACATTTTCAATCCCTTTATAAGATACTATTAACTTCTAAAAAATATATATATATAATATGTTGTTTTCTTTTAAAGATATTATGCGAGGCATAGTTTTTCAATCACATTTTATAAGGACTTACTTGTGCAATCAAAGTTTCTAAATGATAAATTTGAATAATTGGTCGAGAATTTACTGTTAAAGCAATAGCTAAATATTCTTCATCACAGCTGAGGTCTAGAAAATTAGGAACAGATTCCAAATCAATTTCACGTCTCAAAAAATTTGTAATAGTACTTTTTTCAATTCCAAAATCACCAACTATTTGACGAACATTGTTCATTAAAATCACTGAAAATATTTTTATGATTTTAATTCATAATAATAGTTTAATAAAAAAAATTCAAATTAAACTATTGGTTATAAAAATATTACTTAGGGAAAAAAAAAATAAAATTTAGGATGTTTAAAAAATTTACCATTATAAGCCTTTTTCGCCACAGTGAACAGTGTAATTATAAGTAATGTGAACTTAATGTAAATTAATAAAATATAATTTCACTTAGTACTTGTACATTACAGAATATTCAATTTAAAAAAGTCATACATTTTATGATTAAAAATTTAACTTTGATCATTATTTTTTAATTTAATATTTTTATAATGACTGGATCAAGGATTAAAATTTGAAGTTAAATTAATGTTGTTATTTTATTTACAAAAATAAAATAATATATTACACTGTAGATTATTTTTTAAATTTAAAAATAAATTATTATTATTATTATTGTATAATAATGAAATTAGAGTATTTAAATTAAAACAAAGTGAAGAAATAATTCTAAAACGAAAAAAAAAAATTATATTTACAAATATATACTGTCCTATTAAAAAGAGCTATTCCAGATAAATAAAATGGATTATAAAAAAATGTTTTAGTCTTTAAATATAAAAATATATTTATGTATTTCATGTAAAAATATTAAAGATAAAGGATCTTACTACACAGTCGCTTTGGATAAGCAACAAAAGTAATTCCAAAGCGATTACTACAGACAACAGCACTAATTGATCTTTCAAATTTATTACCATCTTCGAAAACTTTCAGATTGCAAAATGCTGAGCATTTGAACTCCTAAAATAATAATTCCCAATTACTATTTCATAAATTTCAATAAATCATCATACATACTAAAACGTCAACACACGATCCTTGAATATTAGTGTTCATTTTATAAGTTGTTAAAACTTTTTACAAAAAAGGTATTTAATAGAAAATTATATGTCCAAATTCATAACCGGAATACCTAAAATATAAATGAAATATATTTTGTATAATTTATTTCTCACATTTTTGACATAACCGTCAACTGAAAATTTTGATAATTACACCATAGGAAATAGTAAGAAGCCGGGATGATAACATTGAAATGGGGTAACCCATAGATGATATATTTACTACTTAAAGTTAATAAAATCTAACAACACTAAGTCCTAACTTGGACTAATATAAATCTTATTTTCTGTACTTATCTCTTTATAAAAATTTGTAAGTCTAACGAGAATGTACTCAAGTCATTTAATTTTTCAAATTACATATAAATTTATATATGTATAAAATGTATGATAAAATTTTTACTTGAACAAAAAAATTTAGTCAATTACTCCAAATGTTAATTAAAATACTAACAATGGTTAGTTATAATTAGCATTTGCTTTTTTTTTTGTTGTTACATGGGGAAACATGTTAATTCAATAACCATGATTTAACATCGAATTTGTATCTCACTTAGTCTAAGCGAGTTACAGATTCTTTTCGTAATAGTAATTTATGTATATAAATCCGCATATAAATTTAAAAATTTTATGAAGTTATCCCAAACACACCATCATTCAGTAAAAATGTTTAATAGTTAATTTAAGAAATTGGTGATATGTTGTTATAGATGTCTGTAGTGTCTTTACAAGTGACATTGGGTCCGGATCCCCATAGACATAAAAACATAGTAGCGGGAGTAGTGAAAAGGTTACCACTACTCTGCATTCTAAATCTTATAGACTCTCCATACAATTTTTTTAAATACGTCACTGATCGAGGTTATAGTTGTTATGTATCAGTGGTCACACTGATTACACACCCGAACGGGTGTATAGGTGTTAGTGATTATGTTGATTGTTTAGATCATAATAAATGGTTATAGGATAAGTATTCTCTGGTATTTGCTTCTACTCTACGTCCATACATAACAATAGTATTGGTTGGTAGGGGAGTTCTTATTCCTTAAAACGAAAAATATTTTTATGTTACTAACAACCTTACAACAAAGTGGCTTAAAATTTTTTTATAAATGAATCTAATTCCGCGTCCTATGCATAATTAGACGCGATATTTGGTATATTATTGATTAAAAGAGCACATTATTTTGAAAAAAAAATTAGCAGTCTTGGGTAGTAAAATAACTAAAATTACTAGTTACTATAACGAAATTAGGCAATTTTATTACTTTTCGCTAAGTAACTTATGAATAATTGAATTATATTTATTTAATTTAGAATCACTTGTATAATATGAAGAAGCTTAAAAGAAACTCATTACATTTTGTTATTTTAAATAATTTTGTTACATTTAAAAATACGTAACGGACTTGTAATTCAATTATTTTTTGGAAGTGTAACGAGTAATTTAAATTTTATTACATTTTAAAAGTATTTTACCAATACCGAAAATCAATAAAATCACTTTGTGTCAGAGAATATATAAAAATGATAATATAATAAAAAGAAGCTTCAACACTTTTTGATTTTCTTTTTTAAAAATATTAACAAGTTACAAGCTATTTACAACTCAAAAATATTAACATGACTAATAAACTGAAAATAACGTTATAGCGTTATTACTACCTCTAAAATATTATTGGCATAGTTCTTATTATTTCATAAAAAATCAATTATTTATTTTATCATACACTTATAAGTATATCATTTTTAATGCAAATAAATTCATATTCCAGATTTTTTTTAGTACCTAATCTTAATGCGTTTAAGCATATTTTTAAAGTTTCTCAAAATTGAGTTAAAGGGTTTGAATTTTTTTAACGCATATTTAACTACTTATTTGTTTGTAAGTTGCATGACAAAAATATCATTTTATTACCTAATTTCATAACAGTAACGGGTAATTTTATTAAGTAATGAAAATTAATAATATTATAATATCTTACATAAATCATTACGTATTGATTTTTTATCTTAGTATATTACTCTATAATATGGATAATATAATGAGATTTGATCTCATTACCATTTTTTTAATCGGATAACTAAAAGAGCTATTTTTATTCTGCTTTACTAAAATTAAAACTTAATTAAACAATAATTTAAAACTATTTTTTTTTTTAAAGTGTAATAAATGCAAAATTTTGAATCATTGAAAGTACCAAATTTTAGTATAATTTTATGCTACTGAACTTTAGTATAATTAATTTTGAACTCACCTCCTCATAAAACCAAAATATCAAAAAAATATTTAAATATTAGATTTTTAAATTCAGTAACCTAAAAATATATAAATTAATGTATTATACACATAATTAACTCAGGCTAAATTTAGAACAACCTGACCCTCTTTAAAAAAAGTTCTTCAAAAATATAGTACCAGATTTGAATTCAACAAATTTACATTAAAAGAAACTCTTTTTTATTTTTGAATACTAATTTTTAGCTCGTATTAATTATTTTATTTTATAATCATATTTTTTTGAATTTGAAACACTGTGCAGTGTAACTTGCTATCTACTTGGCGTAGTATTCAAATAGTGTTTTTAAAATGCAATAAATAAATTATTTATTATACATTTAAAAGTATTTTTTACAGCACTCACTAATAGTTATTTTACTACCCAATACTGACTTCAGTGAGCATTAGTTAAAATACCATAAATATCCAAAATAAATCCTATTCTGTGGTATAAAAAATTGTTGATTTAAAATTAAAGACCGCTATTTACTTTTAAGAGGGGTTTTTCTTGGTTTTTTATTTTAGATTGGTCAGTGATTTAAAGTAATTTTTAGTCTATTATCTGAAAATTTTTTATCACATATTTTCTTATTTCATATTATACAGTGTTCAAAAAGTAAGGACACGGGTAAATCGTTACGAGTACTGATAACAATATAAGCCCTTAGCCTTACTTACTGAACACTTTATATAATAAAACTTTTTAACATAAAAAAAAAAGTGGCGTAAACTGCAAGGTTGTATATAATCTTAATTTAATACAAATACCGTTCCTGTATTAGTAGCATAACTTGCTACAATTTAACATAAAACTATGATTAAACCATTAAGCACAAAATTGATTCTGAGTAATGGCATAGATCACATAAAAATTTTTATTTAATCTGTGGCGATCCGAACGATTTTATCAATAGCGCTACCTGTGATTCAACTCAACAACTACATTCAAGGACACGGCTTCTGTTGATAGTTTGTCCCTACTCCATATTGGACCTTCCTACTGAGTATTGATCGTTTTCAACATTTGTAGCTACGTGACTATGCTTCTAGAAATTTCTTGACACGTCATCGTTGAGCGGGCAATACGAACACTATATAGTGCACTACCATCGGCCATCTTTCATTTGTTCATTGCTGTCGATGTGGTGAGGTTGTTTGTTCATTTAACCAATCTCTTGAAGACAGCTTATTATGGCAGTAATTCCTGAATTACTTTATTTTTCTTCAATGTGTTATTTGTATTGCAGCGTAGTTTTTTTAAACTGTAAGTACCAATTCAGATGTATTTTTTATTATCTAATAGTTATTTTTCATAATGTTTTTTATAATCTGGTTTCATTTTTATACAGATGACTATGGCAACGAAAACTTATATATAAACCATCTGTCGCCATGTCATTTTCAATATCAATTTGGTTAGATAATGAAGTAAGTTTTTTTGTTATTTTTATTTTACATATTTAATGAGTGACGTAAACTGAACAAAGCTTCTATGTGGTAGCATGACTAACGTTAAGAGGCACCGTATGGGTAGCTCAAGGTTATTCAGTTGTTAAGACCGTCGAAAACCTTAAATATGAATAATGGTACATTTAAAATTATTTAAATTAATCATTGTAGATGTTTTTATTTTGTCATTTTTCTCAAATAGTTAATTTTTTTAATTAATCTTGTTTTTTAAATACCCTTTAATTTGTATTAAATTTTAAACCCGTGTTTTATGTTAATATATTTTAGTGATTAATTAGTAACTTATTAATCATTCTAATTTTATCTTGGGTGAATATTCACTAGTGAATGATCAATATTTTTTTAAATTCTTTATTTATTGATGTTGTACTCAAATAAATTAATCAAGTTAGTGTACATTTTTTCTCTGAACAATTATTTTTAATAATACATTAAAATATTTATAATTAACTAACTAAACTTAATTATAATTATTTTATGCTGAAAATTTTCAATATTTGTGGGTGTACAGTTTATGATGTACCAAAATTTGGGATTTTGCTGTAGGTTGACTTGAGTTAATATTTCCTTTCTTATAAAATCTAATTAAAACTACTTGATACAATTAGATTTGATAATTTTTAAGTTTACATTTTAGTGGTTGTTGTTCACCGGTATTATTAAATTACTGGTGATGTTTTTTTATGTAGTGGTGTATATTGTTAAAGTGACTATTAAAGTCTTAATATTTTTACCATTAAAAATAATAGTGATATATATTATACATAATTAGTATAATTTTGTAATTAGGTAGGTGTTTAATTTTTAGTTTAATGAAGGCAACTTATAAAATTCATTGTTTGACACAAATTGGGTTATTACAGTAAAAAATCCAGATTATTTGAATTAAAATTTTTCTTAATTGATGTTTTTACTTAAATAACAATAATTTAATTTTTTTTTTATATTAAAAATTTGACTTTAAACAGTTTAGTAACATTTTTTTTAAATTTCTCTGTTGTAGTGTCAAATATAATAGTTATATAATTTTAAAACTATATGCCTCAGTTCTTTTTTCTAATGTAATTGTTTCATTTTATTTTATCTAATTAACATTGATTTTTGTATTTATAAAATGTTTTCAAATCATTTGGTTGGGTTAAAAATATGTTTTAATTGTATATTTCAATATTTTAGAAAAATTCTATATCATGATCATGAAATATTAATGGCCTGTATGTTTCTGAACTTATTCAAACGGGAGGTATTACTTAATCAATTCTACTATTTAAATAAGTATTATAATCAAGATACTGTGTCGAGGTAAGTAATAAATCTAGTTAATAGTTTCACCCATCATAAAATGGATATTTTACAACATTATACTATTTTCAGTAAGCATAAGAGGAGTGAGGGTTATCATGACACAATAACTTGACCATTATATGATTGGTTAAAATATTGTGATTTCATCAACATGTATGCCATATTTACTATTCAAACATCATTTCTACTTAAGTACAAGACAATTTTCCTCCAAAATTAGACCCTGCTTTTGTCAAATAAGTCTTGGATATATTAGGAGGTTATTTATCATCATTATTAATATTAGATATACATGCAAAATTGAAGACCAAATATTTTGTTTGAACATTCTACTATTGAAAGTTGACTTTAGGATGAAAAGTTATGACTTATCAGCCGCTTTAAGGTATTCAATCACCCATAAATGAAATCCTACTTCTATAGTCTCAAAATTGTTTTAAGTACTATATTCTTCCTTTAAGTTATAAGTAATGCTATGTATGTATAGATGTTCCATATCTCATTTATTATAGGAGTTGGAGTTTATTTTAACTAATGGCTGGCGCAAAAGTGGAAGTAAATTAATGGAAATTAAAATTATTAGACACAATTGGACGTTTTTCTATGTCTTAAAGTATATTAGCATTCAGTTGATGAGTTAGCAGGTGATTGATCCGTGTGAAAATCCATCAGAGTTGCTGAATAATTACATGATTTGAATTATTAGTTATATAAGTAATACCGTTTTTGTAGGCTATCCACATAATTAATGTATTTTTTTTTTAATGCGCTATAAATCTATTTATATTTAAATTTGGATATACCAATTGGTATTTTTTTAATAAGAGCAAAATGTGTACCTGCTACTATTATTGTACATTACTAAAATTCTTTGAGAGCTTATTATAAACATATCTGATTAAAATGTGATTATTATGATGGTTAGTACTGTCTAATAAGATCGTATCTGTTTGATTATATAAAATGTGTTATCCATTTATTTTCATTTGCATATTGTTTTATGTAATTAGCAATAGCTTGTAGTATCAAAATATCATATTTAAAGTCTTGGTGTGCAGTTTTCTTATAAAGATCTTTTTTGTTATAAAAGTTATAGATTTCATAGTAGTAATACCAGTAATAAAAAACAACTGAATCTTATAAATCAATATTTTCTATGACTAATTTATAAAGAAGTATTTATTATATTTATTTTTAATAAATCGTAAAACTGTATATCTAACAAAGTATTATAGGATTGATATGAATAAAAAACAATTCAATTTTTTATTTAATTAAACTCTTACATTTTTTCATCCATTTTTAGCTAATTACATGTAAAAAATAAATCATAGAATTAAGAAATTGCAGTGTTATCTGTTTGATTTCAGTGTGGGTTTAGAATAAAAATGGTCAATTCTATAATCTCAGTAAGTTTTATTATAGGTCTGCAAAATTTGTTTTTTTATACCATTATCACTTATGTGATCTCAAAAGTTACTTGTTTAATGAGTTTATAAGATTGATGATTATCTAGGTAGGTACTAAATACATTATTTTAATAATTAATAGAATTGTGTTTTACTATTAATATACATGTATATTAATAAAAATGTATAGATAATACTAAGTTATTTTCATTTGATATTCTTGTTTACATGTTAAATTTTTGATTTTATGAACATGTATGTAACAAATTAATGAAATGGTATTGTTTCTTGAGTGTCTCAAATTAAATGGTTGAGAGTTAAAAAAACTTAAAGTAATTTGAGGAAAATTTATCACTAATTATTAGTATTATTTGTTGCAAGTTAGTAAATTTAAACTTAAAATAATGGATTGATTTTTATTTATCCAAATTTTAACACTTTTGATATCCTTCAATGTTATTTATAAATACTGAGAGACCATTAAATAAATTGTAAATCACAGTTGTTTTAAAAGTAAAACTTCATGTATAGGCATAAAGAGTTAAATATAGTAAGCTAAGTTACAAACTATTAAACAAATAGTACTATTGAAAATTTCATGTTATATATCACTTGCATTTGGTTACTAATTACCTAAAATTTATGGGATTTTGTTCATTATAGAAAGTAAATTTAAGTTATTTATTAGTACAATTATTGAAAAATTAAAAAATCAGATATATTTTTTTATTACTTAATAAATATTATCTGTTAATATGATACAATAAAAAATTGAAATAACGAAATTATTTTTTAAATTTTGTTACCAAAGTACATAGTTTGGTAAAAAATTAAAGTGTTCATTAGTAGTGTTACATCATGGTTTTGGTTGTTAATAAATAATTAGTCTTAGTAAGGGTTTTTCCTTTTTTGTGTGTATGATTTGTTTAATATATATTTATTTATTTAAATGTAGATAGGGTGACAGATTATATATGAAAATATGATCATAAAATGTTTTTGGCTTGGATGTGTGGTCATTATTATATTTCACTGGATATTTTTTGGCTCATAGTTTTAAAATTGGATAATAAGTTTTTTTATCATATTGATTTTTTTTTATTTAGGTGTTTGTCTTAGAATTTTCGATATAAACAATTGACACTATTGAGTAAATATTAATTTCGATTTACTTCTTTATATAATATTAATTAGTTGACTTATTTTTGAGCTGAAATTATTCCTTTTTTCAGAGTTTTTCTATAATAGTTAATATTTTCTTTTCTGTTTTTGTTTAGAATTACATTTTCAATATCAACATTGTAACTTTTATTCTCAAATACATCTAAGATAATATATTAAATTGTATATGTGATATGATAATATATTTGTATTATTAAATGCAAGTTTCTTTAATGAATTAAAATTTGTTTTAAAAAAACAAATGAAAAGTAAAATGACTTTTAATACATTCATTTTTTGTAAACATTTTCTGTTTTTAAAATTGTTAATTGAATAAAGTACAATATATTAAGTTTTGCTTCTCGAAATTTAAAAAGACAAAACATTTAATTTTTCAAAAAATAGCATTAAATTTATTTTAGTTGATTTATTTATTAAGAATGTTATCAATAATATTGTTTTTCATGCAGTAAAATATAGCAGCCCACGTGTCAAATGCAAAAAATGTAATGAGAAACATAGTAGTTCGGGTTCTATCCCAACCAATTAGGTTAACTTCCCATTTTTTCTCACTTTTTTCTAAATTTATAGTTATCTTGCTATTTTCTTCTAATTTATAATCATCTACTGTTGAATTATTTTGTGTCTGTGACTCTGTCCCCTATACAATAAAAAAAACATATTTCTTAATATTTGTTTTTATATTATTTAGTAATGAGTAATTCAGTTGTAATAGTAATTGTTCAGAAACTAGTTAAACTCAGTTTTTTCAATTATTTTGTTATTTATTTTTAATTGTAATTATGTGTATTAATGAGAATAAAACTTGTTTAAATAGTATTAAAATTGAACCACATTAATAGAAAATATTTAATTAGACCTGATTAGAAATACTAACGAGTTAATTTTTTTAAGAATACATGAGAATGTTGAAAAAAGCTATTTTTGTCCGAATATAAGTTATCTTAAAATAGTCATGAATAGTATAGAAATTATGAAATAAGTTATAAAAAAACAATCCATCAGTAACAGCTTTGCGTTGAAGTTTAAATGATTGTAGAAAAATTAGAATATTATAGTTTGTATTGGTTATCAATATAAATATAGATACTAATTCTTTTTAAGTTAAAAAATTAGTCTTTTTGTTCTAATCTCAAACTTTTATTAAAATTTATTGATCCTAACTCCTCATAACTAGAATATTTTATACTTTACAAATTTATTTCAGTTGTTTTACTTGTGTTCATTTTTTTTTGAACATTGTCCTCATTGTGTGATATTTAAAAAGATAAGTTTACAATAAATAAAATACACCATTTATAATATATTTATCTCTAATCATAAATGCAAATAGTAAAACAAATTTTGAGGGTGTTAAATGTAATTTTCCCCAATTTAAATATTTTTATACAACTACAATTATAATTTTACTTAATTCTTGGGAGTGCTGTGCACATTAATCATCTTTAGCATTTGTATCAATGCTACTAATAAATTAATATACATTGATTTTATCTGAAATTTTTGGTATATATCTATTTAACAAATTTATAAAAGTAGATACACAATTCCTTTTTTTTTTAATACTGTTTCAGCTTCAGAAAATATTAAGTTAATGCTTACAATTTCTATTTTCTAACTTAGATAAAAACCTGTAAGTTATAAGAAATTGTGTATTAAGTAGTATGTTTTATTATTTCAACTTGAATAGAATGGGCGCATATAGTTTTAAGGTTATATTTTCTATTTGAATAGTTTCATCAGTTTTTTTTTCAAATTTAACTTTTTACATTTATATAATGATATTTTCTGAAAATGCGAATAATTTAATTAGAAAAAATTTTGATGATTCATAAAAGCTTAGTTTTATTTTATGATTAATATGTTATGCACTCACATTACTGAGGTTTACCTTGTTGTCAGTTACATTTTCATTTTCTGTTGAATCTGTTGGTAATATATCATCGAAAGCTTCATTTATATATCCTTTTGGTGAAATAAAAAATGTGTCTTCTGTATTATCATTTATATCTTTTGAAGTGCTAGGTTTATTTTCTTGCATCTTTTGATAATAAAATTTAAAAAAATTACTTTTATTGATGAAAAAAGAACATTCTATTATTTTATCAAACTTCGTATGATATTATTTATTAGGTAGGAATTGAGGCTTATGTATAGTTAGTAATTTAATTAAAGTATACATATTATATAGCTAATACTACTACATTTAAATTATAGTATGAATTAGTTTAATGTTATTGTATTAAATGATATATAAAATAATTTAAATGTAGCAGTATGAATAACAGTTATTTTTTACATAAATTAATGCACTATAGTAAATGCTGTTTTCATAATTAAAAACTACATTGTTAATACACAAATATTAAATATGTTGGTATAGGATAATATTTCTTTACCTGAGGTATAGAAATCTACTGTATTAAAAATATGATGTCAAATAAGTTTTTTTATTTTCAAATAACTGTTGTAGTAAAACCTAGGTATCTTGGTAATATCATCTGAGTTACACCTTAAAAAAAACTCTCATCTTACTGAAAGTTTTAAATAATGTTGCTAACATACTTTTATAGTAGTTATTTAAAAATGAAAAATTTTTTTATTTCTGTAGTTATGTCCCAGACCAAGTTTTGTACTTATATTTTATGTTGTTACTTTCAGTGAACGATTTAGTTACCAATTACTTAATCTTACTTTTCTAATTAATTCTTCATTAGAGTTTTTAAATCCTTCATTGACATATCCTTCTTCATTATTGTTTACTGTAGTAATATTATTTCCTGGTATTACGATTTCATTAAGGTTCTTAGTGTCAATTTGCAACTCTTTTTTTTCCTAAAATAACATTTTTCAATGTGATTTTGTAATTACATTTTAAATATATATTTAAATATATTTGAGAGAATCAATAAATATTTTTTATTAATTTTTGTTTTTCTTGTAGCAGTTAGTATATATATAATGCTGAATTCTTACCATATTTGGATGATATTTATTTTGAATGTCTTAATTTATACAATTTTTTTGTTAATTAAATTTGATGGTCATTAAAAATTAAATTGATGTTCATTAAAAATTTCTCGTTACTAGTGTATTATTTTCTAACATAATTACTAACTTCAGAAAATTTTATTTTAGAAGTGTAAGTCTTTTATCTAATATTTGTTTTAGTATTTATCTATTTAAGTACTTAACTATAGATAACTAGTTCAGTATTCTGTAAACAATGAATTCATTGATTTCTTGAAAATAAATGTTGATTAATGTTTTTATAGATTATTTTTTATATTTGTTAAATTATTTATTTCTTCATTGAAAGGTATTGAATTTTGTAAAGAATAAAATTTCATTGTAGAGTATTATTTATGAATTCATAAAACACTGTCTTATAATAGTAAACTGATAATATTTGAAAAATTGAAGAAAATAGTGTATCAGAGTTAAATTTGCATAAAAAGTCTTTTAGTAAAACCAAAATAAAAATGGTAGTGTAAAATATTGTTCTTATAGTTAATATATATGCTTGTTCAGTCAAGTTTTTTTGCTATATTTGGTACAAATTTTTAAAATGTAACGTATGTAGAGCTTTTATTTTATAAACTAGTTTCACTGGTCAAGTGAATCAATAGTGGGATGATTGTAAAAGGTTATTTCATTTTATGGGATAAATGAATAAATATTTTAACCAATTTCCTATTAATTAATTAATTTTTTTCTTTTGTTAATTCAATATTCTTTGATCATNAATAGTGGGATGATTGTAAAAGGTTATTTCATTTTATGGGATAAATGAATAAATATTTTAACCAATTTCCTATTAATTAATTTTTTTCTTTTGTTAATTCAATATTCTTTGATCATGTGATTTAATTGTGAATCATTAGGCTTAATCTTCATAGTTAACTAATATTTTCCAATAAATAAATCTGATTGAAATTAGTGATGATTTTTGTTATTGTTAACATATGTTGTATAAAATTAATGGTTATTTACTTCCAAATATATCTAATAGTTGAATTATAATCGGTGAAAATTAAACAAAGCGTGTGCAGTCTCAATATTAAAATCAATTTTTCGATAGTAACAATGTATATTGGAAATGATATATTTTTTTTAGATTAAATATTTTATTATTTGCTAAGTTATTTAAATAGTCAAAAAATTTCAATTGCTCTAAATGGTTTGTTCTAATGAATTATATTTATCATTTTTATGACATACTTATTTAAATTAAAAAAAAGTAAAAAATAATTACTTTTTCTAATTCTAATCGATATTAGAAGATTTTATTATGTTCAACTTATTGTTGGTTTGATATTTTATTTTTTATTGTTTAAATAATAAAAAAAATTATGGAGAAAGTACTTTAAATAATAGAAAAACATTTTTATAAGTATTAGAATGGTTCACAAATTATTTAAGTATTATTATTTAAAAACTTGTATTTTTTAATTAAATTACGTTATATTTCTGTATAGTTGATTAATATATGAGCAAGAAGTGTTTTGTTTATTTTTTATTAAGGTATCAATAATTTGAAAAATTAACAATATGTCTTCGTTATATACTTGTATTTAAACTATTATTATTAAAACTCTAAAGTTACAATAATCCTTTAATATCTAACCTATTCAAAAACCATTCCTGGCTTTTAGTATTTAGAATTTTTGTCTAAGTTCATATATAGGTTGTTAATATATAGTTTGTGATTAGAGTTAAAACTAGTTTGTGTATGTGTGTGTGTGTGAAGAGGAGTTAAAGCCCTAGAACTACCCTATTACCTGGTAACGCCACTGGTTGCCCAATTGGACGTTTTATAATATAAAAAAAGTTTGGTTATAAAAAAAATCTAAAGAAAAAATTTAAATAAAAGTATTTGTAACTCATAAATTAGTAAAGATAAGATAATAATAAATTATAAAATGATAACTTTTTAGCATTTAATTTGAAGTACTACGGGGTATCTTTATTCAATTATTTATGTCATTAAGATTTATTGGACATATATATACTAATTGTTTTAAGATTGTAAAAAATTGTATAAAACAATTAATTAATAAATTATCATGTAGCTTTTAATTTTGATAAAATTAAGAATTTATAGGTCATTCATTAGAACATATAGTATACTCCTTAATATTCCATGTTAATTTACGTTTGTAATCGCAAGTTGTCCCAATTTTTTAAAATATTTTATATTAATGTATCAATGTTATTAATTGTTAATCAACACTTGTTTTAAATAAGTATATTAATGTTTGGTAGGTTTTAAAATTATACTTAGATAAAATACTAAATTCAAGTTCACTAAAAATTCGGTTCAAGTAAGCAGTGTGATTATTATTTTAATTTATAAATTCTACAATATCATTTTTATTATTTGTTAATCAATGTCTAAGTTATGTTATTATATTATGACTACTTAGTTAAATTATATTCCTCCTTATACTATTATATCTATAAATTAATTGATTAAATACATAAATTTTGTTTTAAGTTTTTATAATATTTTGGTTTAAATTAATTAATTTACCTACTTCTAATTATATCAGTAATATTAAGGCGTACAATGATATAAATACGCTGTAATTTTAACTGCGAGTCTTTTTCCTCGCCTTAATCCCAACTACTTGGGGCCGGGCAAGTAATTTTAACTGTTAATACTCTAATTCATCTAAAAAATTGGTGATATACTACTAGTACTGAACTGAATACTATTATAATTTTTAAATATATCCTAAAGTAAATTTGTTTGTGAAATATTGTAAATGACGGGAGAGTATTTTATTTTTGTTTTTATTATTTCGTTACATTTTTTTTGATGATGGATTTTTTACGTCGTAAATTTACCTTATAATTTTTTCAAATGTATGAGATATTTTAATTTTGTATACTAAACAATCAACAATGGTTTTAAAAGATATAGTGAATGTTAATTTATCTAGAAATTGCATGCAAAGTTACTTTTTTATAAAATGATAAAAATTTTAACTACTGTTATATTTATTATTGATATCAATTAATGACTGCATATTTAAAGATAATTATTTAACTTTTATTAATATGTTAAGAAGCAGTGACTTAATCGATGCAAGTTTAAAATATGCATGGCAGTATCTATAGAAATAAGGTTGAAAATTTGAAAAAAATTATCTTGAAATATTAGGGAAATAATATAAAAATGAAATATATTTCTAATATTTGATTATGTATAATCAAAATTAAATAATACTAGAGATCTTAGTACTTGGTACCAATTCATTGACAAAAAAAAATGAGTTACGACATTGAATAATTTAACATCAATTGTTATGAATAGTAACAGAAAAGTGTGTCAATTAAGATTTTGTATTTTTTAATCTATGTTAATAAAAGTACACTAAGAGTAATTTTATGTGTAAATTATTGAATTTTAAATACTTAAATATGGTTAATGTGGTCTTGGTCAGTTATTTTATCAACTTCAACTGGAATCTTTAAAATATGACTATATTTATCTTGTATAACAAAAAAATTTGATGTAGACTAATTGTTGAAGATATTAATAGTATTTTTTATTAAGTTTTGGTTGATAAATGTCAAGGTGTTTATGGGTTAAACCTCTACCTATGAAAATAACTTTAATCGTTACACAATTTATAAATGACAATATGGAAATATTGAGCAATCGGTAATTATCAGTTACCATCTCTATTTTAAGATGCACTCTTTTCCTTTAAGTTGATTCACTATGTTCATTAATTTCTAATTGTTATAAATCGCTTTCATTCAAACAATTTTTTTTTTGTGTATGTTAACTGTTGTCATTCAATCATTATTGAAATATTTCGTTAATTTTTTTACTTGAAATAATATTTTATCAATTAATGCAATAAGTTATTGTTAAGTCATTATTATTATAATCATTATTTTGAAGTAAAAATTGTTAATATTCATTAGCTAAATCGTAAGAACACTCCAATATTATATTTATATTAAACTCTCAAAAACAGTTGTGTGTCTTTTAAATTTAATATTAGAAATATGTTTATGCCCGATTAAAGTTGGTTCATTTTTAATGAACTTCGAATAAAAAACTTAAATTGTTTTAGTGTTGTATTAATTATTAATCGTTGTTAATTTATTGTTTGTTCAAATTGTTAGAAATAGTTTTATAATTGTCCTCTAAAGACTTAAAAAGTAACCAAAAACTTACGTTGCTATAAATACATAAATTTCTGTCAGACAGACAAAAAAGGTCTGATAGGAGACGGTTTTGTAGAATTGGTGGCTTTGGTACTAAATTGTTCAGATTCTACAGATTAATAATTTAAATTTATCTAGATGGATTAGTAAGAATGAACGGAAATTTGTTGATAGCAGTCCTTAAATAATTATTATTTGATCGTTCTCTTGATTTTTTCAATATTTTGTTAGTTTTAAAAAGAGTGATATTAATTAATATTCTTATAAATTATCTTTCACTAGTCTCAAGTTTTTTTAATGGAAATTATTCTATAGTTAAAATGAATTAAACTATTTTTAGAGATGTATACTATATTATTACAATATCAATATATTTATGTTTATTATTTGGTTTCAACATTTATCAACATAGTATGACTATAATTTGGCTAAATTATTAATAATTTAATATATTATTATATAATAATGAAAATCGTGTATCGGAATAAAAATAAAAAGTCCTAAAATAATTTAATTAATTTTTTTTTTGTACCCTTACAAGCATATCACTTAGGTAAATTAAAAATAAATCAAAACTATAGCTTTACATTTCGACGTGCATTATGTTACTTATTTAGTTAAAAATTTAGAAGATTATCTTCATAACAGTAGTGGTGGCTAAATAAATAATAAAAATTAATTTTTTATTTATATAAAAAAATAATTAAATGAAAAGTTTAATAATTATATCTATTAATAAATTACTTTTAGCTTAAGAATATTTGTCAGTTTATTCAATAATAACACTTTCCACAATTGTTATTTATTTTATATTTCAAGAAATGTTTTTTTGATAAAAAATATTTATTTCTAAATAGACAGGTTCTGATTTTTATTTAAATTCTGATATACGCAAATAATGAATTCGTTAATGTTAGTGACCTATATTTTTAATAATTAAAAATGTAATTACTTTCTATGCACGTACTATTGAACTAATACTATGAATCATAGTAAATAGCTAATTATCCGTGAATTTGCCAATAAAATTCATTTTAATGAATATTAATTTCTAAAAATTGTAGATCTGACAAGTAATGTCTAAAAAGTTCTCTCTGATAGAAATGTTTTGATAAAAGTGAAATTTTTTTTATATATCTAATTTGTTTAGTTAATTGTCATTAGTAGTATCCAAATATTCTAGCACAAATTAATTTTTTTTATTAGCTATGAAAAATGTTGAAAATAATTCTATAATATTAAGATATGGCGTGTGTGGTATAAAATCAAATATTTTGCAATAATAGTTTAACTATTAAAATAAAAATAGTTTTCGGTTTTATAAAAAAAATTTATGTCCAATAACAATTATTTACCTATTATTGTTATATTTTTATATAAGTATAGAAGAAACAACTTAACAATCATTTTTAAGTAATTAATTATTCATAAAATAATATGTAATAATAGTATTTCATTTAATTAATTGTTAACGTATATTAATAATTTAGTATTTATAAATATTTAAATAAACGTCATTTAACAATGAAGTCCAATGAAAATAATAGGTATTATTGTTTTATTTTAAAATTATCTTCTTAATTAATTTATAACAGACATTTTGTGTTTTATTAAAACCATATAATTTTGTTCTTCATTGATACTTAAATATAAAATAATACGCTCTCCTATCTATAAGTTTCTTTATATTTTTTCGTAAAATTAGTAATATTAATATATGTATTAACTATTTTGTAAAATAGCTTTGAAATGTAAATTGAAAAATAGGAAAATAAAAACATTTTATTTTGAGTTATGGTTGGTCATATGTTATTATAATTCATTAAAAAAAAAAAAGATAAAATGCGACAACTTAGTATGTTGTATGTTTTAATTATATATTAAATTTATAGAATTTTAAATATACAAGTGAATCTTATTCCATGTGCAGCTAGACATTATGTTTTTTTATCATTGTAATCTATTATTTAG